GCAGGCACCGAGGCCTCAGGCACTGGTAACATGAAGTTCATGCTCAATGGGGCTCTGACCATTGGCACCATGGATGGAGCCAATGTGGAGATGGCAGAAGAGGCGGGCGAGGAGAACTTCTTCATCTTTGGCATGAGGGTGGAGGATGTGGACAAACTTGACCAGAGAGGGTATGGAGGTCAAGGACTCCTAAGTTCAGGGTCCATGGGCAGGAGGAGAGGGATGCTTGGGAAGGCTGATTTAGTTTCTATAGCCATTCATGTCAGGCAGGCAAGCCTGTGAGGTGCTTGCTATACAACAAATAAGTTAGTTAGTGAAATGGGGGTGGGGGTGGGGGGAAGTAATCTAAAACTGGAGGAAAAGGAAGAGAAATCCTAAGAGAGAATATTATTCCTGGAATTGGAAGTAGTTTTGAAATTCTTAGCTCCCTGGTAGCCATAGCATAAGAAATATATGAGTATAGTAGTTACAATAATTATGCTTATGGTTAGAAACACATTTCTTCAGATACGACATTTCCCTGGCATTTCAGTTTTAAAATTTGGTTTGAAAGGCGATTTTTTTCCTTATAAAAGTAATATATATCAATTAATTTGAATAATGAAAACCACAAAGAATAAAATAACTATTATTCATAAGCCTATTCTCCAGATATAAAGCCAGTGTTCACTTTTTCTACCTGGGAGTCCTGATTCAATCTTTGGCTAATGGACCTCAGGGCAGCCGCCATCGGTCTGTCAGAGACGGCTTCCGTGTTACCACACTGAACAAGTTTCAGTGGAACCTTCGTATCAGTGAGAAAGAGCTGGCAACCTAGTTCTGGAAACATCAGTCACTGAAAACTATGGATCACAGATGATCTGACCCCATTGTGCAAGGGGTCATCAGGAGGGCAACTGACAAAACCAACAATATGGTTTTAAAAAATTAGCAACATGTGTGCCATTTTGAATCTTATTTAACAGTAACGAAGTATTTCCTATGTCACTAAACAGTCTTCAAAATATATTAAATGTATGCATAACGTTCCATCAGATGAACATTATGCATATTTATCAGTGAAAAAGAGGCAGACCCCCAGCGAGATGGACTGACATAGTGGTAACAACAGTGGACTCAAATGTAACGTAGAACCTGGCAGTGTTTCCTTATGTTGTACATGGAACTGATTTGATGACACCTAACAGCATCAACAACATATGGTTAGACAGGAAGGTTAATTTCATGTTTGTTACTCTAACACATTCTAATGAGCAACTGTTTACATCTCTGACCACTTACTCCTTCAGATCATTATTAGAAGGGGTCTTTCTGAGAGCAAAAAAAAGTACGGACTTTTTGAAGTCCTTGACACACATTGCCAAGTTGCTTTGCAGAAAATTAATACCCATTTATACACTTCCACTAACAGCTTACAAGAGCTGGCATTGAGTTCTGGAAGTGATTTCATCTGTGAGATTTGGCTGGAAAGTTCAAACTTGGTCCTTCGGGCAGAAGGAAGTCATGTAATGTTTTGAATGAGGTTTGACATATTCTGAACTAAAATTCAGAAAAAACAATTCTAGTTATAGGATGGAGATCGCGGATTAGTTGGGGGCCAGAGTGGAGGTGGAGACTCACCTGAAGAAAGCTAAGCTGAAGGTGGAATTTAAAGGTGCTCTGGTAGCGTAGTGGTTACCAATTGGGCTGCGAACTGCAAAGTCAGCAGTTCGAAACTACCAGCTGCTCCAGGGGAGAAAGATGAGGCTTTCTGCTCCCGTTAAGATTTACAGCCTCGGAAGCCCTGCGAAACCCTGTACAGGGTCACTATGAGTCAGAATCAACTCCATGGCACTCAACAACCACAACAATGGAAGAGGCCTTGGTGTGTGGTTGTCTCGTTGAAGTGGGTATGAGAAGGAGATGGGCCTGGCCTTGTGAAGGGATGGCTCAGAAAACAGAACTCTAGCAGGAAAACTGGTGCTAGGGAAGGCAATATGCTCAGGTAACAAGCTGAAATTAAGAACATACCTGTTAATTCCTCCAGAAGTTTGAGGGTGAGACTGGGGCTGGACTGGGTATGCTGTTAATATTAGTTACCATCGAGTTACACCAACTCATGTACAACAGAACCAAATATTTCCCAGGCCTGGACCATCTTCACAATTACTGATATGCTGTGCCCACCCTGTATTTCAAGTGGTTTCAGTGTAGGGGGCTGACTGCCCAGCACCTTATCGGACAATATTCTGTTGAGATCATAGGATTTATATTGGCTGATTTTTGGTAGTCTGGAAGCACCCCTGAAACCTGTCCACAATGGGTGTTTGAGATATCAGTGTCATAGCTTGATACGTTGTGAAGTGCCATCGAGCAGGTTCCGACGCATAGTGACCTTGTGTAGGGTTTCCTAGGAATGGTTGATGAGTTTGAACCACTGAACTTGTGGTTCAAACCAACCTTGTGGTCCAGTGCATTATTCTGCAGTGCCACACCAGGACTCCATATAGCTGGATATGTTGTTGTTGTTAAGTGCCATTGAGTCGATTCTGATCCATAGCGACCCTGTGCAGGGTTTCCGAGGCGTGGCTGGTGAGCTTGAACCGCTGATCTTGTGGTTCAAACCAACTTTGCAGTCCAGCGCTTTAACCCACAAGCGCCACACCAGCAGGACTGCATAGCTTGTTATAGTGGGTGAGAAAAGCCATTCAGAGGACAAGCCAACCCGCAGGAGACTATGGTGTGTGGTGTGTCACACAGACTGCTTACTTTGGCATTTGACTCTGACGTGAACTTTTCTGTCCTCTCTGGACCTCAGCTTCCTCATCTACACAGTATGGTGACAAGTCAAGCAGAAAAGGGAGGGAACTGCAAGGAAGGTTAGGGAAGGAGCTAAGAGGGGCTGTGGCAATTCCAGGGTGTCCAGCTGCAGGTTGGGCCTGGGTTCTGACTTTACAGTTTGAAATAACAACAACAAACAAACCCAACCCAATCCGTTGCCATTAAGTCCAACTCAGGGACCCTGTAGGACAACATAGAACTGCCTCCCCTCGTGGGGTTTCCAAGGCTGTAATCTTTATGGAAGCCAACTGCTACAGCTTTCTCCTTTGGAGTCTAATCGCCAATCTTTGGGTTAGCAATGGAGTGCTGTAGCCACCGCACCACCAGGGCTCCTTCCACGGCTTGTGATGCCTTTACTTTTTAGAAGGGGAGCCAGGACTCCTTTCTAGGGTGCTGACCACAGCTCTGTTCTCGCAGGTACAATGCCCAGGAGTATTACGACCGCATCCCCGAGCTCCGGCAGATCATCGAGCAGCTGAGCAGCGGTTTCTTCTCCCCCAAACAACCCGACCTGTTCAAGGACATTGTCAACATGCTCATGCACCATGACCGGTGAGCTTCGCCTGGCTGGAACTGCAGAGGTTCCAGCAAGGTGGGGAGGCTAGGCAGGGATACAGGACAGCTGGGAACCAGACTCACTCCCCAAGCCCCAAGCTGTGAGTCGGGGGGAACCTGAGGTGGGGTGTCCCTTGCTCTCCTGGAGCTTCTTGCCTCTCCACCGCCCTCCAGGTTTAAAGTCTTTGCGGATTATGAAGACTACATAAAATGCCAGGAGAAAGTCAGTGCCCTGTACAAGGTGAGGGGGCTTGGTCTGTGGGCAGTAGGCCTAGATGGCCTTGGCCATCCAGAGGCTGAAGGTAGGACTTCTGGTTCCTCTGCCGGCTGGCCAGTGTACCCAAAGCTCTCTCTTGGCTTGTAGAACCCAAGAGAGTGGACGAGGATGGTGATTCGGAACATAGCCACCTCCGGCAAGTTCTCCAGTGACCGTACCATCGCCCAGTATGCCCGAGAGATCTGGGGGGTAGAACCTTCCCACCAGCGCCTGCCAGCTCCTGATGAAGCCATCTGAGCCTCCAGACCAGACCCCAACCAGCCCGAGTGGGTGTTCAATCCTTTGGGCCAGCCCCAGCTCCTAGTCCAGAGACTAGGAGTCCTGACTCAGGCCTCTAAGCCCTCTCCTGTTACTCCCTTTTCCCCCACCTTGAGGTCCTGGTGTCCAGCGTGATTTAGGACCGAGCCCTGCTTCCCACCCGTGGTCTCTTGACCCCTCTACTATTTATGGGGTCTGATAGCTGCACCCACTTCCCAATAAAATGGTTCTCCTCCTAGTCTTCTTACTCGTCATTCTTGTGGGAAATATTTTTAGCACTTGGAGGGCACAGCAGTTGCACAGACACCCCCTCACCCCACACACCCCCACCCCCACCCCCGCCCTCTGCAGGTGCATCCCCTCAGAACAAGAGGCCGTGGGAGACCTGGGGGGCGGGGCCTGGGACTGGGCAGCCGTCCCCCTCTTCGCCTTTTTTTCTAGTGCTGTGTCCATACTAGGTCAGCGGCCAGGCAGGCTGGCCGAGGGCGGGGCGTGCGCCTGGGTGGGGCCTACGGGGCTAGGAGTCGACTGGGTCTCAGGCCTCGGGGACTACAAAAGATCCACAAGGTGGGAGTCAGGGACCGAGAGGAGCCTACAATTGCTTGGCTCCGCCTTCAGACACGCCCACTGCGGCTTTAGGGTCTCTTAGCAGGTGACTCGAGTCCGCTGAAAGCCCGAGTGTATCAGCGTGGGGGACACTCAGAGCATCTAGGCTCAGCCACTGACACACCCTCCTCACTATAGGGAAACAGTCATAAAAGGGTCTGTTTCTAGGCCTCACATTACAAATGAGAGGTGTGGGGGGAGTCCCGCTTCCCCGGGAAGGGAGGGGCTAGCTTCGGGAGGGAGGGAGGTTTGGGGTCGGTGGTTTCACAGTGAGTGTGTCTGAACCCAAACGGCCGGAAACTGTTAGCAGCTCCTCTAACCCTGGCTGATGGGGACCCCAACCGCCTGTGGCTGCCCCTCCCTGGTTCCCTCCAGTCGAGGCCCAGGCATTCAGTCTCCAAGCAGCGGAAACTACCCCTCTCCATCAAGCCCTGGGGAGCCAGGCTTCCGGGGCCCGTTGCTGTTGTGTGGACTAGAGTTCTCCCAGCCCATAGGCCCCTCTCCCCAAAAGCTCCCATCTTGTCCCAGCCCCTCCCCCACCCCTCCCAAAGACCCGTTGCTTTGGCCCCCACCTCCTCTAGGTTGGGCCCCCACTACCCGCAGGAAGACGTCCGCCTGGGCCGGGTAAGCCCCGTGGGAACGGTTTGTCTCGAAAACAGGAACCTGGGCCGGGGGCTGGGCGGGGCGCCCCTTGCCCACCGCAGTCCGCTTCCTGTCCCTCCCGCTTCCTCCATCCGACAACCAGTTGGAGTGGGGGGCGGCAGGGCGGGGAAGCGGGCTCCGGGTTGATGCCCTCCTCATCCTACACCGCCTGGTCTCCGCTCCCCGCCTTCAGCGCGGCTAGTGGCCCAGGGGGCCCCCACTTGCGGTCTGGCCTCCCGGGAGGCACAGCAGGGGAGGGGTTAAGCTGCCGCAGGGACTGATGTGTGCGGGTCGCGAGGGAGCCCCGCGGGGGAGGTGCTGCCGGCGGTGCAGAGCAGTGCAGGGCGGAGGACGACGGAGGGGAGGGGGGTGCCGTGCGTGGGGGCGGGGCGCAGAGAGGGGCGGGAGCCGCAGCCGCAGCGAGGTCGGCTGCGGGAGCGCACAGAGGTGGCGCCGGCCAGCTGAGTGCGGGCTCGGTGCCGCGGGTCCGAGAGTGAGTGAGCGGGCACTAGCGGGTGCTGGTGGAGGAGGGCCTGGCCCCCGGGGTTCCAGGACCCCTGGAGCCCAGAGGCGGTATAGCTGGGTGGGCTGGGGGGCAGTTGAGTGGGGAGGCTGCGATCGGGTCGGGATGGGAGGTAGCTGCGGAAGAATTGAGCTCTGGTTAATCAAGGGGAGGAGGCAGCATCCGCCGCGCACCCGACTTGGCCCTGTCACACATCAGCGGGTCCCTCTCCTGAGGACCCCCATTTGACAGATGAGTAAATTGAGGCTCCAAGAGGCCAAGTGAGTCTCAAGGTCACACAGCAAGGAAGCGACAGTTAGGCGGGGACTGCTCTGTTTGGCTCCCAGGAAAAGTCCTCCGGATAACTCCACTGAAGAGCCCTCACCCCCCCCACCCCCGCAATCTGCAATCTGTCTGGGGGTGTGTGTGTAGGGGAGGGGCAGGGGATCTCTTCTTGGAGCAAGGCTCTGCTGGGCAGGAGTGGTGAACCTTAGGGCGCTGGGGCCGCTCTGTGCTGCGGAGGGTAGGGGGAGGTGGAATGGGCGTGTGTGGGCACCTATGGAGGTGTGTGCTTGTGTGGGAGAGTGTACATGCGTGTAGGTGCGCTAGCAGGCTTCTGTGCACACGTGTACGATTGTCAGCGCCGCTGTGGCCAGGGATTTCAAGCTGGCCTAGCTCGAATGAGCAGCAATACCGGAGTCACCCTCGTGAATGGGTTTGTATTTTGGGGTAGACAAGCTGGGTGTGTATGCCAAGGGCTTCTCCATGCAGGATGCCCAGATGTGGGTGCCTTTGTGTGTGTGAGGGAGGATGGGTGGCAAGTATCTGTACCCTGTGTAGCTGGGTCCCAATGTGGATCTCTGTTCTCTGTGAAAAACGTGGGTATGAAATGAGTATTTGTCCTTGCATAGGTATGTGTGGTCCCACCAGCAACTGGAGTTACTGGTGGGATCATACACGCAGCATTCACCACCCCGTTGCAATAGCGCCCCCTTTGGGACACTCTACTCTGCCAGAGTGTCCCCAGCCTGTGCGGGATGGCGTTCACAGTTTGTGTGGAGTAGGGGCTTGGGAGTCTGGAGCCAGCTGAGGTAGGGAGGGCTGAGCCGGGACCCCTGGGGCCTTCACGGAGGAGGTGGCCTAGGAGCTCGAGGTTCCCAGGCTCAGGCTTCCAGCTGACGCCTCCGGCTCCTGCAGCGGGCTACCCCCCCCCCCCCCCCCCCAGGAATGTTCTTCTCATCACTTCAGTCCGTCTCCCTAGGGGCAGGCCCCTGGGGGCCGCCCCAGCACCGCCTCCCCTCGTGGGGCGCCTGGGAGGGAATGATGTAGGCAGGACGCCTGGGTTCTCTCCTCCCCCTTCTCATCCTAGGGAGAAATTCCTCCGAGGTCCCCTCGGGCTCTGGGTTCCTAAAATAACCCTGCGGGGGAAGGGAGGCTGTGGAGGGAGGGAAGCGGGAGAGGCTTAGAGCCGAGCTGCGGGATGCTGCAGGTGCCTCTGGGGAGAGGGGGCGAGGAGTAGAGGCCTTTAGGGGGCTGGTTCATCTTCATCCCCGGGGAGTCCCTCGGTCCTCCCGAGACTCCGAGGAAGGACCGGAAGTCTCTCGGCAGGTCCATTTCCCAACTGGCTGGTTGCACCATTCTGACCGGACGGTTTAACCCCGGGAGTGGCCTCGGCCAACGACTCCGCCCCTGCCCAGCAGGGGGCGTGCCAGTCCCGCCCCGTTCCTGCGGGGCTCAGCTCCCGCGGCTGGTGCCTCTGTAGACTCCAGTTCTGACTCTCCCGGGACAGGGATCCGGTCCGAGCCCCGTGGGAGATTCCGCATCGCACCTTGGACTTAGGCCACCCGCACCGCCGGCGATGGCTGGCACCCTAGACCTGGACAAGGGCTGCACGGTGGAAGAGCTGCTCCGCGGCTGCATCGAAGCTTTCGGTGAGTGGCACGGGAGGGCACACCCAACTGAGCCCACCCCGAGCCTGAGCCCAGGCTCCTACCTCCCAGAGTAGACCCCTGGCCGGGACCCACCCAGCGCCACGCCCGGCAATCTCCTCCTTACAGGGTAGAGAGACGCACATTTCCCTGCCCCATTCTGTCCGAGCCAGCGTTGGAGGCGGCCCAGGGTCCCCAGACTCTGACGGGAGGGACATTATCTGTCTGGGGGGTGGATCCGGAGGAACTCTCAATCTCCGGCCTGGGAGCTGTTTCCGGCTGATGGGGGGCGGCCTATCTGGTGCAGGCGTGCCCCTTCCCCCAGCACTCAGGAAGTGACCTCTGGGATCTTGACCCGGGGGAACCCAAGCTCTTTCCTCCCCAGATGGTTCCCCTCTAGACTATGGGTCCGGCTCAGACGCCTCCCTCTCCCCCGCCCTGGGATCCAGCCTGCTCAGGAGGGAACGGGTCAGAAGTGCCCCTGGTGCCGGGTAGGCTGGGGGTAGTGTTGGGGACCACAGCTGCAGGACCAAGGGTCAACCCACTTCTCTTTGACTCCTGGGGTTAGATGACTCCGGAAAGGTTCGGGACCCGCAGTTGGTGCGCATGTTCCTCATGATGCATCCCTGGTACATTCCCTCCTCTCAGCTGGCGGCAAAACTGCTCCACATATATCCTTCGTGGGCCTCGCAGGGGCCGCTGGAGTCCCTCAGTGAGTGTAGGCTTATAACCTAGAACTCGGGCTTCACCCCAGACACCCTCTTGAGCCTAGGCTCCACCCCCCATAGTTCAGTCCCCGCCCCCATACTCTCCCCAAACTCGACCTAGCCCTCATCCTCCCTAGTGTCTAGGACTAGCTCTGCTCCCAGCCCAGGCTCTGCCTCTTTCCTCTTCCCAACCCAGATCCTGCTTTCAACATCATCTAGAGACTGCATTCCGTCCCCAAGATCCCCCCCAAAGCTTTAGCCTCATCCTCAGAACTCAGGTTCTGCCCTGACCCTCTCCATGGGCTCCCCCCTCATCCCTACATTTCTCCTGGATCCAGGCCCCACCCTCCCTCACTTGCTAGAGTGAAGCTCCATCCTCCTTTTCTTTAACTTTCTCCTTCACCTATCAACAATCTCGGAAAGACAACTCCAATTCGCTGCAGGTGAAAACGTGTCACCTGGTCAGGTGAGTTTCTCCTGAGGCTCTGTCCCCTCCTCTTGCAACCTTCTCCTCAGGCTTCAGACTCTGAGCGTGAAAAGAGCGCTGTTAATGGGAGTTGGGCCAGGTGGCTTTGAATCTTGGCGTTGTCCATGCGGGCTTGTGCCTCCACACGCTTGCCCAATCTTCTGTCTGGGACTTGATTTTTCTTATTTGTTCAATGGAGATGGATGTCTCAAGTATAAAGAGAAGAGAAGAGCTGGTTGTTGTTGTTATTAAGTGCAGTTGAGTTGGTTCTGATTGAGCGCCCTGAGCTAGTTGTGGGAGAACAAAAATTGAGGCATGACTGGCCACCTTCTCTCTTCGGAAGACTACAATTCCCATGAGCCTCTTGGGCAGCCCCCTGGGAGTTCCGGGTAAGGGTTGCCTTTGGGTGACTCTACCCTTCCTCCAGGTACTGGATCTCAGCCTTCCCAGCTGAGTTTGACTTGAACCCGGAGCTGGCTGAGCAGATCAAGGAGCTAAAGGCTCTGTTAGACCAAGAAGGAAACCGGCGGCACAGCAGCCTCATCGACATCGACAGCGTGTGCGTGGGGGGAGCCTGGAGGGCTGAGGCGGGGCTGGGGTGGTGCTCAGCATCTCACATCATCTGCGCTTAATAAATGTTTGTTGAATTGAATGAATGAGGGTCATGTCACTCTCTTGCTTAAACACCTTCCATGACTCCCTATCGCATTTAAAACCCTTCGCAGTTAGGGGCCAGCTTGGATTTCCTGCCTCATTTCCTATCCCCCCATCCCATATCACGGCTACATGGGTCCATGCACCATTTCCTGAGCCCACCGCATTCCCTGCCGCCATGGTGCTCTGCTATACCCTTTGTCTCCTCTATGTTAGCAAAACTGGAACCAAAGTTGAAGTTTCTGTGAGCTCTGCCAGAGCGACGTAGTTCCTTCCTTGGTCCCGTGTGTTTTGTGACCATTATTTCTGTATCTCCCTCAGTAGACCCGGAGCTCCTTGAGGGCAGGCGTCATGTCTTGCTCACTTTTTTGTCTCCAGTGCCTTTTCCCAGTGTTTTCCACAAACGTTGAAACATGTGTTGAGTGAATGACTGGGAGGACCAGAGGGGATGGCTCAGCAGTGCCTAGGACACAACGTCTAGACCTCAGTTGGCTTGAGTGGTTTGTTGGCATGAGTGTGGGGCCTTGAGGGGTGGGGATCCCCAGCAAAGGGCTCATTCCCCCTGCCCCCCCAGCCCCACCTACAAGTGGAAGCGGCAGGTGACCCAGCGGAACCCTGTGGCTCAGAAAAAACGCAAGATGTCCCTTTTGTTTGATCACCTGGAGCCCATGGAACTGGCGGAACATCTTACCTACTTGGAGTATCGCTCTTTCTGCAAGATCCTGGTGTGGCCCCAGGGCCTGGGGGTGGGTGGTCTTCAGGGTAGGCTGGGGGGGCAGGGAGGTGGGCTTTCGGTGGGAACCGTACAGGGTAACTGGAGGGCAGCAGTGGCTCCAGGTACAAGAGCCTGCCGAGCGCTGAGGTCATGCCCTCCGCAGTTCCAGGATTACCACAGTTTTGTAACGCATGGCTGCACTGTGGACAACCCAGTTCTGGAGCGCTTCATTTCCCTCTTCAACAGCGTCTCGCAGTGGGTGCAGCTCATGATTCTCAGCAAGCCCACAGCCCCACAGCGGGCCCTGGTCATCACACATTTTGTCCACGTGGCAGAGGTGCCTCCCCTCCCCCTGCCCTGCAGCCCCAATCCCTGCTATCTGGAATGGCCACTTAAACTCAGCCTTTCCTTCCCACTAACCCACTGCCTCATCTCCAGGAAGACGGGGCCCTATCTGTACCCATTCCATGACTCTCTCCTCCTCTCCCCTCCCCCATGGGCCTTCCCAGAAACTGCTGCAGCTGCAGAACTTCAACACTCTGATGGCCGTGGTTGGGGGACTGAGTCACAGCTCCATCTCGCGCCTCAAGGAGACCCACGGCCACGTCAGCGCTGAGACCGTCAAGGTGCTGGGACAGAGAGAGGGAGGGGCATCCTTGGGTCTGGACACTATTGTCCTTCTTGGAGGAAACTGAGGTTTAAGTGGTTAAATGCTTTTCTTAGGTTGCACTTGTGCTTTCTTCTCCTTTTACATTTTTAATATATCAGGTGATAAATTTATAGGAGCATGGTGGCTCCATATAATAAGCACTGGATTGTGAACCACAAGGTCTATGGTTCAAGCCCCCCAGCCACTCTGGGAGAACGATGAGACTTTCTGCATCTGCAAAGATTTAAAGCCTCTAAAACTCTATACAGAATTAGAGATGAAGGCTTGGAGAGAGAGCAGCTGAGGACTCTAGACTCATGGAAACAGAAAGACTGTGTGCTGGCAGCCATATGCTGGTGGCCAGGAGGCAGGCTTGCAGAATGTGTCCTTTGGTTGTTTAAATGCTTATATATTCCTGTGTACATCCCTGCTTCCCCCCCCCCCCCCCCCGCCAAAAAAACAAAGACAGAGGGAATAGAAAGAAGCAAATACTGTTCAATGATGATGCACTGAGGGGATTGTAATCATTGCAACAGAGCGATGAATGTAAAACTGATGTTCCCCCATGTAAACGATCACTCAATTCACAATAAAAACTAAAAAAACAAAAACAAAAAACTCTATACAGAGGCCTGGTGTGGCGTTGTAGGATAAGCACTGGACTGCAAGGCCAGTTTGAACCACAAGGTTGGTGGTTCAGACTCACCAGCCACTCCTCAGAAGCCTTATACAGGGTCACTATGAGTTGGAACCGACTCAACGACACTTAACAACAACAAAATAAACATATAGGAAGGAATATACAACATATGAACAATGTAAAGGGAAATAACAGAGAAAAGGCCTGAGTAACATTACCTGGTCAGAAGCTCCCGGTACCTCCTATGGTATCTTTGTGAGAAGCTTTGTTCTAGAGCTTTCGCATCTTGGCATACGGCAGCCCAGCACAGCGTGCCTCTTTGTTACCTAGTTTTGATCATTCTGGAACTGGATGGTTTGCACTCGACTAGTGATCTAAATCTTCTTGGAAACACTATACAGGGTAGCTGTGAGTTGGACTGACTCGAGGACACTTAACTAAGCTAAAGATTATTGTTAAGTGCCGTCGAGTTGCTTCTGACTCACGACTACCCTGTACAGGGTTTCTGAGGAGCAGCTGGTGGGTGTGAACTGCTGACCTTGTGGTTCACAGTCCAGTGCTGATCCTACAGGGTTTCTGAGGAGCAGCTGGTGGGTGTGAACTGCTGACCTTGTGGTTCACAGTCCAGTGCCACACCAGGAGTCCAACCTAAAGATTGTTGTTGTTGTTGTGTGCCGTGGAGTCTGTTCCGACTCAGCGATCCCGTACAGGGTTTCCGAGGCCGTAAATCTTTATGGGAGCAGAAAGCCTCATCTTTCTCCCGCGGAACAGCTGGTAGTTTCAAACTGCTGACCCTGAGGTTCGCAGCCTGATTTGTAACCACTACGCTACCAGAGCTCCTTAACCTAAAGATAGGTGGTTCGAATTCATTCAGTGGCGCAATGAAAGAAAGGCTTGCTTTTCTTGCTGAGCAGCTCCCCTCGGTCACACACAGCATCACGAGTTGCAATGGACTAGCTAGCACCAGTTTTTTTGTTTTTTTTAAATAATCTGAATCGTGTTATACAAGGGGGCTTCAAAAAGTTCACAGAAAAATGGAATAGAAAGAGAATGGAATTTTTTCCATGAATTTTTTGACCCCCTCTGGTATGTTAACTTCTGTTTTGCTTCTTTCCTCCCATGTGGTGGTGGGATCCTTACATTTTGTTACGTTGCACAATTGTTCATTCCTTTTTGTTGCCATATAATATGTCCTAAGTCTCTAGTCTAATGTAGGTATCCATTCTATTGTTGAACATTTGAGGTGTTCCCGTTTTTTTGCTGCTAAGAACCAGAAACTCCACTTAAAACATTTTTCTAGATCGTTGCCTCCTTGAGTTTTCCTTCAGTTAAATGTTGATAATCTGTGCCCAGGCCGGGTGTTCAGGGGTTGTATTTGGCAGTGGATATTACCTGGAATCTGTACTTTATGAACTCTGACCCCTAGGCAGTAAAGGACGGTTTGACCTTTTACCCTTCTCTGGTCCTGACTCTTCATCCTCTCCCTCATTTTCAGGGCTGGTGGGGTGGGGAGGGATGGCTGAGCTAGTGAATATGTTTGTGTGTGTGACCCCTGATCTCTGCCTCCCATCCCCACTGCAGCTCTGGGAAGGTCTGACGGAATTAGTGACAGTCACAGATAATTATGGCAACTACCGTCGCCGGCTTGCCGCCTGCGTGGGTTTCCGCTTCCCAATCCTGGGTGTGCACCTCAAAGATCTAGTGGCTCTGCAGCTGGCACTGCCAGACTGGCTGGATCCAGCCCGGACCCGGCTCAATGGGGCCAAGATGAAGCAGCTCTTCAGCATCCTGGAGGAGCTGGCCATGGTGACCAGTCTGCGACCACCAGTGCAAGCCAACTCTGACCTGCTGAGCTTGCTCACGGTGAGGGGCTGGGGAGTGGGGAACTGACTGACCGGGTAACAGTCTGACAGTTATGCCTGGATCTCTGATTTGGAATGAACTCTTAAACTGGACTCCAGACTTCCGATGGGGCTGAGAACTGAGATCTGACCACTAGCTGGCATGTAGACCTCAGACTGGTTAAAGGTTGGGCCAGACTCCTGGCTTGAGTTCCTGGTAGGTGTGTTCTAGCTTTAGGACCAAGCTTTGGATTCTGGGTAGCTTCTAGACATGGTCTTGGGGTATGAGGTTCTGGCTTTGAACAAACTTCTGACCTTGACTTGAGATTTCGTCTTGGAGTCTGGGATAGGTATTGGGTTCAAGTCTAGATCTGGACTAGGTGTTAGATATTGGACAAGGTTTTAGGGTTTGGGCTCTGGATTGGGGTCAGAGTTGAATTCTGAGTTGCATTCTGGTCGTTGGGTTATGTTCCAGCTGTTGTTGGTAAGTGCCATCGAGTTGGTTCTGGCTCATAGTGACCCTATGCAGGGTTTCTGAGAAGTGGCTGGTGAACTTGAACCACCAACCTTGCTGTTCAAATCAGCTTTGCAATCCAGAGCATGAATCCACAGCACCATACCAGGACTCCTTGTGTTCTAGGATGAAGGTGAAATTCAGAGATCTAAACTGGAGTCCTGGTGTGGTGCTGTAGGATAAGCACTGGATTCCGACGTCAGTTTGAACCACAAGGTCAGTGGTTCAAACCCACCAGCCACTCCCCCGAAACTCTATAAGGGTTGCTCTGTCTCAGAACCATTTTGACGGCACTGAAGGTTGGGCTGATATCTTGAAAGTGGGTTGTGTTCCAGATTTGGACTGTAAGCTATGGGTGGGTGTTAGGTTGGTTGTGGGTGTCAGGGTATGTTCTGAGTTGATTTTAGGTTGATTCTAGCTTCTGAACCTCTTTCTGGTCTGGTACTCTGGGCTCCTGGGAGCAACAGGAAGGAGCCAGAGGATGTGACCAGACCTGTATGGTCCCAGGTGTCTCTGGACCAGTATCAGACGGAGGATGAGCTGTACCAACTGTCCCTACAGCGGGAGCCGCGTTCTAAGTCTTCGGTGAGATACAAGATACCTGCTTCTCCAATCTGTCCACCCTCCTTCCTCCCTCACCTCTGCTCCACCTGAGAATCCTGGGGTACCAGGACCAGGAGAACTGCTTGTGGAATTGAAGGGGGTACTGAGGCCTGGGTGGTGGAAGTGACCTGGGGTAGGCTCCTCTCCCCCCACCCCCCCAGGGGTTGCCCTGGGTCCGGGGCTCCCTCTAGCTTAGCCTGGCCATTCTTACAGCCAACAAGCCCCATGAGCTGCACCCCCCCACCTCCCCGGCCCCCAGTGATAGAGGAGTGGACCGCAGCTGCCAAGCCCAAGCTAGACCAGGCCCTTGTGGTAGAACACATTGAGAAGATGGTGGAGGTAAGACCCTGGGGGAGCTGATTCTGGAGCTTGGGGACTGGGGCAGAAGTCCACTGATGAAAGTTAGGGTTAGTAAAGGTGGACATTGCCCGAGCACCATCATGGGAGCCCTTCTAGTGACACGTCCAAGGGCCAGCGCTCTGTCTCCAGACGACATACGTTGGCCCCGAGGGGGCTGGTGGGGGATGGGAAAGGGAGATGGTGGAGGAAGCCTTACAGTTGGCCGTATCTCAGAGTCAACCTTCAGAACATGGATTGGGGATGTGGGAAGCGGTGGGGCCTGATGCTCCTATTGCTCTGCCCACTCCCACTCTTGTGTGTCCCTTTGCGCCCCCCCAGTCTGTGTTCCGGAACTTTGACGTTGATGGGGATGGACATATCTCTCAGGAAGAATTCCAGATCATTCGTGGGAACTTCCCTTACCTCAGCGCCTTTGGGGACCTCGACCAGAACCAGTGAGGAGGCCCGGAGGGCTGGGAGACTAGGGGAGAGGGAACGTAGCCCAGTTCACTTCCCCCTCGAACTTCTGTTTCCTCATTTGATGATCTTGGCAGAGGAAGGCACCAAAATTTGGAGGGGGACTCTTATTTTGGTGGGGAGGTAGCCAGGTGTGGAAGCTCAGCATTCCCTCACTCCTGCAGACAGATGCGGGGCAGCTCCACCTGAATCTCACAAAGACTGTGGCCTGGGGACTGTTGCTACAAAAATGCTGTTTCATTTGTGGCGCTCACAGCTGGCAAAAGTGTGGGCAAGTGGAGCTTTGGGTTGTCTGTTTTAATGAACAGCTAAGAAGGGCTTATAGTTAGCAGCATCCACTTGCTTATCAACATCTGCTGACACTTTAGAAAAACAGCTGGTTTTCTGATGTAGGTTACATATGTCCCCTGCACCCTGCTCTACTGAGCAGACAAAGCTGTAGTCAAAATGGACCGTCCATCACAGGTTGATTTTTAAAAACAACAACAACAAAAACCTTTATCTACATTTTAACAATCTGTTATTTATTTTTTTCAAATTCTAAAGATGTGTAGCAAAACAAAAAAATCAGGTAGCTTGATCAATTTATAGGGAACAAAATGTATACAATTCTAAGAAGAGCAAGCGTGCTCCCATCCGTAGAGTAACTACTATGAACTCTGAACACCATTAGGGACATTAATACTGACAACATGTGTATCCTTCCTGGCTTTTTTGTCCCCTGTGTCGTTGCAAATTGATGCACATTTTGTTTATTTGGTGTCTGCTTCCTGGACAAACAGGATGTTGAGTAGAAATCCACTTTTGTCCTTGACTTTTTGTGGGGGTGACTTTGGTTTTCTTCACAGAGCTGAGACAGAGGTGGACAAGTGCCATCTTGTTTCTCTGGGGTGCTGGGTGGATTTTTCCCCAGCTGCCCTTTTTGTGGGTGTGTAGCCCTTTAAGGCCTTCTGGATGTCTAGCTTCTTGAATTTGTGCTATTTGTAGAAAGACCTTCCACCGCCAGTTGTCATTAAATCAATTCCAACTCATGGGGACCCCCGTGTGTGCCAGAGTAGAATTGTGCTCCACCAGCTTTTCAGTTTTTCCAAAGTAGATCACTAGACCTTTTTCCCTAGGTACCTCTAGGTGGACTCGAACCTTTGGTCTTTCAGTTTGCAGCTGAGCACATTAACCATGTGTATGTGTTGTTGTTGTGTGCTATCAAGTCAATTCTGACCTATAGCGACCCTGTATAGGGTTTCCAAGGAGTAGCTGATGAGTTTGAACTGCCAACCTTGCAGTTCAAAGTGACTTTGCAGTTCAGCGCCTTAACCCACAGTGCCACACAAAAACTCCCAAAAAGGCCTTTGTCCCCTCCAGATTACAAATTTCTCCTCTATCTTTTCAGATCCTTTTTGTGATTTTATTTCTACATTTGTAGTCTCAGTTTGGCAGGCATTTCATTTTCTTGTCTAGTAGTAGCAAGGAACACAGGTGTATATATAGTTTTTGAAATGGCCAGTTGTCCTGGGGTCCTGCTTTAAAGAACCACCTGAATCACACCGCCACCCATTGTTATCAAGTTGAGTCCAATTCATAGCCACCTATATTGTTGTTGTTAAGTGGTGTTGAGTCGGTTCCAACTCATAGTGACCCTGTATAGGGTTTCCAAGGAACAGCTGGTGGGTTTGACCCACTAACCTATGGTTAGAAGTCCAGTGTTTATCCTACAGTACCACACCAGGACCTTATGGTGGTGGTATGCCCTGGAGTCAGTTTTGATTCACAGCGACCCTGTATAGGGTTTCCAAGGCTATAAATCTTTACAGGAGCAGAAAGCCTCATCTTTCTTCCATGGAGGAGCTGGTAGTTTTGAACTGCTGACCTTGAAGCTAGCAGTCCGATTGGTAACCACTACACTACGAGAGTTCTAGGTCTCTACTTACAACCGGAAAAGTTTCCAGTATATAGCCTTTTGAGACCTTTGGGGGGTCCCAATTTCACATGGGGTCCTCAGCCTTAATTCCCTCCCCCTCCAGGGCCCTGTTGCCTGGGACTATGACTACAATAGATTACTGTGACCACCCAGCCCCTGGTTGGGTACAAAACCTTGTGCCTCGCTTACCCGTAGAAAGACCAGCAACCTTCTCCCAGGACAGCTGCAGTTCAAGCCTCAACTCCCTGCCTCATCCGAAGCTTCCTCTTTGTTGGAACCAGTTCTTTCTTGCCCGCTCAGCTGTACATTTAAAACAATTTTCAATATATTTTAGCCAGTCTTTCTAGATGTTTATAGCAGAAAACTTTTCAGGGTTTTAAAAAAATCACTGTCTTGTTGGAACTGCACGCCTTGCTGTTCTGTGTTTTGCTGTCTACTTTAGCATGTACAGCCTCCCCCATCAATTCATGTAGAACTACCTTATTCTTAAGAATAGCTGCGGAACATCCCATCGTGTGGCTGGACTCATTTACCTACCCATTTCTCCTGCTGATGGACTGGTAGACTGCTCCCAGTTCTGTGGACATCCTTGTACTGATACACTCTGGTCAGCATTTCTGTAGGAGAGCTTCCTAGAAGTGGGATAATTGGAACAAAAGATATGCACATTCTAAATGAGGAGAGAGACTGCTAAACTGACCTCAGACAAGGTTGTGCCACTCTGCAGTCCCATCAGCAGTGTACCAGTGCTCATTGCCAAGCTTCTTTGCCAACACTGGATACTATAATGATCTTGAAAATGTTTGCCAGTCCGATTGGCAAATGGTATCTTGGTCAAATTTGCATTTTTTTACTATTAGTGGGATGGGTATCTTTTTCTATGTTTATCGACCATTTATATTTCTCCTGTTAATTGCCTGTTCATATTCTTTGTCTGTTATTCTACTGAGTTGTTGGTCTTTTTCTCATTGATTTTTTAGAATCTCTGTTAATAGATGTTAACCCTTTCCTGTTGAATGTGTTTGAAAATGTTTTCTCCCCGTCTGTCATTTAAGATGTCTTATTTCATATAAAATTGGAAACTTGTAATGTGCTCAATATGTCTGTCTTTTCCTTTTGGGCTTCTTAGATGGATGCTGCTTGTAGAAAGGGCCTTCCATCAGTTGCTTGTGAGTCCATTCGAACTCATGATAACCCCAAGTGCGTCAGACTAGAACAGTGCTCCAGGGAGTTTTCAATGGCTGCTTTTTCTGAAGTACATCGCCAGACTTTTCTTCTGAGGCACCTCTAGGTGGACTTGGACCTCCAAACTTTTAGTTATCAGGCTAACATTTTGTACCACCCAATGACTCCCACCCAGAAGGGCCCTTGTCCTCTCAAGATGACAAAATCTTCTCCTCTATGTTATTTCAGATACTTTGGTAATTTTATTTTTTATATTCATATTCTCAATTTGGCAGGAATTTTGTTTTTATGCATAGTGGAAAGAAGGAATCTAGGCTGAGGTTTGTTTGTTTTGTTTTTTTTTTGGAATAGCCAGTTGTCCCAATGCATTATTGATTAGAAGGACCACTTGGATTATATTTTTGTTGTTGTTAAGTACCGTTATGTCAGTTCTGACTCAGAGTAACCCTGTTTAGGGTTTCCAAGGAGCAGCTGGTGGATTTGAATTGCCAACATTTTGGTTAGCAGGCCAGTTCTTATCCTACAGCACCATACCAGGACTCCTATTGTTGTTATTAGGTACCCTTGAGTCAGTTCTGACTTATAGCGACCCTGTGTAAGTTCTCAAGGAGCAGCTTGGTGGGTTTGAATTATCAACCTTGATAGTCCAGTGCTGATCCTACAGCGCCACACCAGGAGTCCTAATATGGGTCTTCAAATGCGACTGGAGGAAGTGTCCAGGCCCCCTTTCAGTGAGTGTGCATCCCTTTGAGGGCCCCAGCTTCCCTTGGGGACCTCAGCCCTAAATGCCAAGGCTCCTGTTGGTTGGGGACCTAGACCTGCACAGGCATCATGTGAATGTCTTCCATATAGTAACTCATGGAACTGACAAGGCCCTGGGAGCTGTAGGAGGGCAGTTTTCCTGACTTGGAGATGAGGATGGAGCCCTGGTTACACACAGTGTCTAAGGACCTGGCTGCTGCTAACTGAAAGGTCATCAGTGGGAACCCACCAGCTGCTCCACAGGAGAATGATGTAATGGTTTGTTCCCATAAAGAAGATCGTGTCAGAAACCCTTTGTCCTAGAGGGTCACTATGAGTTGAGTTGACACCATCAATGGATTATTTAAAAAAAATTTTTTTTATGATTATCTGTTTTTTTTTTTAAAAGTTTTTATTGTGAATTGGTTAACAGTTTACATGGGAGAACATCAGCTTTACATGCATCGTATCGTATTTCGTTTCAGTGCAATGATTATAATCCCCTTAGCTTGGTTTTTATAAGTGAGGAAACTATGGCACTGGGAGATGAGCCAGCCCGAGGCCATGTGACCAGGAAGTAGTAGAACTGGAATTGGAAGTGAGGTCTGTCTACCTCCAGGCTGTGGGCTCACGCTCATCTCAAAACAGGTTGCCTGGTGTCCTTCCTGCAGGATTGTGCAAGACTAGGGCGGGCCCAGCTCTTCCCAGTCTCATCTGGTCCTAGAGTTTTAGCTTTCTGATTGATGTTCCACAGGGCACAATTTGGAATATGGAGGCTGATGCTGAGGGGCACAGCCCTTTTTAGTTCACACACCAACTTTGAGATGGACAGGGCAGGAATTAGTATCCCCTCTACTTGAGCCCTGGTGTGGCGCTGTGGGTTAATGCGCTGGGCTACAAAGGTAGTTTAAACTGCAAGTTTGGTGGTTCAAGCTCACCAGCTGCTCCTCAGAAATCCTATACAGGGTCGCTGTGGGTTGGAACCGACTCGACGGCCCTCAACAACAACAACTACATGATGAGTCCTGGTGTGGCACTGTTGGTTAATGTGTTGGACTGAAAAGTCAGTATGAACTGGAAGGTCGGCGGTTCAAATTCACCAGTCGCTCCTAGGAAACCCTGTACAGGGTCACTATGGGTTGGAATCGACTCGATGGCACCTAACATCAACAACTACTTGATGAGGAAGCCAATGGCAAGTGACTTGCTCAAGACCACACATTAATTAGTCAGTGCAGCTACTAAATTTGCCTGACCCTAAATTTAGTGCTTTTCCTTTTCCCTGCATCAAAGTCACAAGAAAAACCCAAACCCACTGCCTTCCAGCGGGTTCCGACACAAAGTCACAAGAAAAACCCAAACCCACTGCCTTCCAGCGGGTTCCGACACACAGCGACCGGTACAGGACAAAGTAGAACTATTCCATAGATTCCCAGTGCTATCATTACTATGGAAGCAGACCACCTCATCTTTCTCCCTGCATCAGGCAGCCCAAATCAGGAGTTCGTGAAGAATTTTTAATCTAGTGGGGGGAATTTCCCAGTGGCTGGGTTCAGCAGATGGTGGCTATCCTGGAGACAGCCTCCGCTGAGGCTCCTTCTCCCTGCGTTCAGGGATGGCTGCATCAGCAGGGAAGAGATGGTCTCCTACTTCCTCCGATCCAGCTCAGTGCTGGGCGGCCGCATGGGCTTCGTACACAACTTCCAGGAGAGCAATTCCCTGAGGCCGGTCGCCTGCCGCCACTGCAAGGCCCTGGTGAGTCTCCACCCCACGACCACGCCCACTCACGCCCCACCTTCTTTTGGCCCTGCCCCTCCCCTGCGGACACCTTCTTGACTAATCCCACCTGCCTTTCTTCTTGATGCTCTGCACTTGACGCTAAGGTTCCAGAAAGGGTCAGTCTTAGACCTTGGGATCTGGAAAAGGGAGGCAGGTTGTCACCTCTCTATGTCCCTCTCTCTTAGCATGGCTCTCTCCTCTGTTTCAGATCCTAGGCATCTACAAGCAGGGCCTCAAATGCCGAGGTGAGATGGATGGCAGGGCTGCTGGGCTGAATAAACAATACAAGTGTTTTTGGAGAGTGGCTACCTGGGTGGGGGTTCTTATTTTGGTGGGGCAGTTGCCATAGAGTGGAGTTCCTCAGACAGGGAGAAGCAAACGGATTGATTTACGCGGGTTTTTAGTTGGTGAGGTAGCTGCCCAGGGACAGAGAATTTTTGAGAGGGCACAAACTGATGAGTAGGCAGACACTTCAGAAGGGTTCTATTTTGGTGAGGGGCTCAGAAGGAACCTGGGAGGGGTGAAAGTGTTCTGATGAATGGTCCCTGCCTCCGTAGCCTGTGGTGTGAACTGCCACAAACAGTGCAAAGATCGCCTCTCAGTCGAGTGTCGCAGGCGGGCCCAGAGTGTGAGTCTGGAGGGGTCCGTACCCTCACCTTCACCCACACACACCCATCACCGCGCCTTCAGTTTCTCCCTGCCTCGCCCAGGTAGGCGAGGTTCCCGACCTCCAGGTAAGGATGGGGTATGGTTTTTTACTGGCCTGGGACGGAGGGAGACAGGATGCAGTGACAAAGTATAAACTTACTCAGGATGGATGGGAACCATGTCTGAGCTTGAACCAGTATTCTTATTTTAATAGGTGAGGAGATGAAAAAGGGTTGGGTAGGTACGGGTGTCAGAAGGCTGCCAGGCTGAGACTCGTGAGGAGAGATACCCTTATTTATACAGAAACAGGAAATTACAAGGGGCTTCAAGATTCCAGTTACACCCTTGTTTTGTTAGGGGGATTGGCAAGAGATTAGAGAGGGTGTTACCTGAGCCATTTGCCTACCCTGGAGACTGAGCTGAGAAAAGCCCCTGCTCTAATAATTTCTTTCCCAATGACTGTCTTAGGGTCTCTGAGGACTTTGGGTCAGTTTATTGAATGACAATTTGCCATCTGATTAGTTGCTGAAAACATCTAAACAACCATGTTAAATTGGGGACTAAGACAGTTGACCACAACGGTTTGGGTTGGGACAAGTCCTCAAAAATCAGAAAGCAGGAAACCATTTGCACTGAGCCTTCCCAAAGTGCTGGGATCTAAAATGTGAAAGACACACAAAATTGACATTTACGCAAACGGCACTGAGAAATCTGTGGCTGCGAAAAAGCTGTAGCAAAGTGAAAACTTAGAAAAAGCGACTCAAAAATTGGGCATTTTGTCATCCAGTGAATTGATTTTTGGTGGATGGGTTTGCTTTCGGGATGGGGTGGGGTGTGTGGCGGGGTGGGAGGAGGTTTTGCTAGACTACTGAGGTGACGTGACCTAGCAGCTGATCCTACAATCCCTTCCCTCAGAGATCCGAGAGGAAGAGGTGCAGACAGTGGAGGATGGTGTGTTTGACATCCACTTGTAACAGCAGGTGGTAAGTCCTCTCTCCTGGGACCTGCCCCAGAGCCTCCCCACTGAGAGTAGTGAGGGTGGGGGTAGCGGGGACCTGGGTGCCTGGTTCAAATGACCCAGATTGGGTGGATTCCTACTTGCTGGGGAGGGTCTCCTTCACAAACTCTTTTTTTCTTCCCAGCTGTAACTGGATCCAGGACTCCTGTTGGCCGTGGAGAAAAGTCTTGGACCAGATCTGGGAGCCTGAGGGGGCTGGGGTAGGGGTGGCATGCGGTTGAGGACAGGGCCAGGGCTGAAGTCCCTAAGATTGTATAGACTCTTGTGAATATTTGTATTTTCCAGATGGAATAAAAAGGCCCGTGTAATTAATGTGGAGTCAGAGCCTAGAGTCCTGGGGGGGGGGGGGGGCGGCAACTGAAATTCTTGGGGACTACAATCTTGGGCTCTAGAACTTTATAGTTAGAGGAAGGACTGGAGTCTCACTAGTCATGAATTTTGTTGTTGCACTTAGGTGCCATTGAATCACTTCCAACTCTTGTTGTTACGTGCCGTCCAGTCAGCTCCAACGCATGGTGACCCTGTATAGGGTTTCTGAGGAGCAGCTAGTGGGTTTGAACTGCCAACCTCGTGGTGCAAACTGACCTTGAGGTCCAGTGCATTGTCCTACAGCACCACACCAGGACTCCAGCGCATAGCCACCTTATATGGAACAGAAGGAAGTGTCCCGTCGTCCTGCACCATTCTCACAGTTGCTGCTATATCTGAGCCCATGGCTGCAGCCAGTGTGCCAATCCGTCTCCTAGAGAGTCGTCTTCTTTTTCTCTGACACTTGGAGGACTGGAATCTTGGGGTCGAACTAGAAAACCTTGGAACATAAGAATTTTGAGGGGTAGTTCCAGGTTCTTGAGGGGAGGAGTCCAGAATCTTGGGAATCTAAAACTGGAAAAGAGAGCATCTTTGCAGCCAGAATTGCTGGGTCCAGTGGTTATCTACAGCCATCTCCTTCAGTCCACAGCTGAAATTCCTTTGCTTGACAGGGGGTCTTTCAACCCCGGCTTGAACACCTCAATCAATGGGGAGCTCATTGCAGAAAATCTTACGAGGGGGGACAGAGAGGGGCAGTTCTGAGAGCTGGTCCCAGGGTAGTGGGGTGGAGCGCCTGTGGGCCCCGGCTGGGTTTTCAGGCTGCTCAGTGGGGGCTGCACTCCCTGGCCTATGCTGCTGGAAGCCGGAAGGACAGTGACTTCCAGAGGAAATGCATATTGATCCTGTTCTCTGCCTCCGGTGGCCTCTCCCAAGCCAGCCCTTCCCTCCTGAGCTTGCGGCAATGAGGTTTTGGGGACTCACCGCTGCCTGAAGAATGTTAAGGCCCCTTCTAAGGCTGCTCTGGGTGAGGAGGGTAGAATCTGATGGTTCTGAAGCTGGGGTCAGAGACTCCACATAGTAGCCCTAAGAATGTGAACTACTGCTCCTGTTCCCCCACATTGAGGGTGAGTTCTGAGACTAGAGGCAGGAGCACCCCCAATTACTACATACAAAGCACATATCTGTGGGTCTGGCATGACCTCAGCATCCCCACGAATGCCCCACCCCCCTTCCCTAGTACTCCCTTGTCCCTTCACTTTGAAATCCCCACTTCCTCTGGCCTAGTCCTCATTTGGGCTCACCCCTTCCCCTGTGACATCTCAGAGGAAGCTTTGTCCCTTATTGGGCCCCTAGCCCTGTCCCCCACTGGGTCCCCTGCCCTGCCTCTCCTTCCATCTTCAGCCCCCTCCAGTCCTGTTCCCCATCCCTCCCTCTCCTCAGGCTGTAATATCCGTTTCACCACGATTTGGGGGCTGAGTTGCTATAACAACAGACGGCGATTGTGTTGTGAAGAGCAGCTCGCTCCCTGCGCCTCCCGCCTGCCTCCCGCCTCCCGAGCTGCCTCCATCCCTGCAGCCTGGTCCGCTCACCTACCCACCACCCCCAGACCCAGCCTGGCCTCTTCCCAGGGTGTGTGTGTTTGCATGGGAAGCCAGGTGGGTGCCTGCCCCACTGGGTGTGTGAACGTGGGACTGACTTGTCACGATTGTGTGTGTCTGAGCTTCACAGTGTGTGCGAGTGTGCATGTGTGTGCATGGACACACACTGCTGCGTTTTCCTTCCACTGAGTGGCCCCATCGGACTGTGCATGGAGGAGAGGTGTGTGCTTACCTAGCATGCTGGTGTCCATGGTGGGTGTGTGTATGTGTGAAGGGGGAGTCCTTGAAGCCCCTTTGCATTCGGTGGTCTCAACCTTGGGCCTTGGAGGAGACAGCCTGGGGCTAGGGGGAGGGGTGTGGAGGTGTGGTGTTGCCAGGTGACCTTTCCTGCCCTTGATGGACATTGGGATAGGACACAGGTGCCTCACTTCCCGCCTGGTCCCTGCTCCCACCTCCTATTCCCCAGTCCCAGGTCCATCTCTAAGGACCTGAGAGGCTGTCTGTCTGTGCATCTGCGCCCTATTGCCTGGACAGACATGAGGTGTGTGTGTGGGGTGCACCTAGGCTACTGGGGAAGGGGTGGGGGGGTCAGGGCAGGGTGATGGGCAGTGAGCAGTGGGGTGAGAGGCGATTTCCCTAGCACAGCCCTGACTCAGCAGTTCCTAGTCTTTAGCCTTGGTGGGGCTGGTCTGAGGGTCTCTCCAAGGTCAGAGTGGGCTGAAGTCTGAGACCCTTCCCAGCCCCTGCTGCTTGGGTTCCCCTTTCAGCCTCTCACAGGCTGGGGAGGGAGGTCCCCTCTTGTGGGAGGGGATGTCCACACTCACTCACTCACTCATTATCAGCTCTGTGCAAAGTGCTTCAGGCACGCAGGAAGACCCCAGGGCAAGCCCCCCTCTCCCAGAGTGTCTGCCTCTGAATGTGTGCCTGAGAGTGTGTATGTTCTTAGCAAAGTGCATGCTTCCTGGGTGGGGTATTTCTGCAGGTGGCCCCATATGTCCCTGGGGAATACCTGTGTGTACACACATAGGTATGCACGGCTGTGAGTGTGCCCCCGTGTGCACACGCACATGTAACAGCGGTGGCACTTGAGGGCTCTTGCAAGTTGCCTCTGGCTAAGGCATCACTACCTACTGCTGGCTGTGCAAGATCACAGACCTGCTGCAGATATCGGGGTCCTGGGGTGAACTGGCAGAATGGTCTGATATACATATCACACACACACACACACACACACACAGTCTCGTTCAGAACTCACTGCTCAGCTTTGTAGTACACACACTAGATGCCAGTTCCCCCTTTCTCCCCTAACTTACACACATGCACAGTGATGCCGAAAGAAGCCTTTAATAGGGAGATCTCTCTAGTACCCCACTCATCTTGGTACTCTGGGTTGACAGGGAGAGAACGCTTCCCCTCAGTGGTTCAGCCAGTGTGCATCCTTGTTCCTCCCCACTTCAATCCCCAAACTTACTCCCACCCTAGCACACTCTGGGATTCCCATGAGGCAGGGCTGGGAAACCCCAAGTCCCTAGGTCTACTCAGCACTATCTCTGTCTTTTCCTCCCCTATCCCCTCAATGCTTATCCCAGCAAGGACTCTCCTCCTGAGTTATGGAGACTCCAAACCAGGTCCCACCTCGGGTGGTGGGGAGCAGGCTGAGGGCTGGAAAAAGTCACCATCAACCGCGGGCGGGTCCCCCTTCCTTAGGCTCCCCACAGTTAAGGCCTGCCCCTGGGCATAGCCAGCAGAGGGCGCTGCGGTCCAGGCTCGCGTCGGTCCTGCTCCCGGGAGCCCAGGTCAAAGCCCACAGCCTCCCTTAGGCCTGGCTCAACCTCGGGGGTTGCCACATGGGCCCGCTGGAATGGGGGTGCAGGACCTGAGGTAGCACCTACTGGGAAAGGGGGGAAGGCGCCTGGGTGCCCTGAAAAGACACTGAAGTTAGGTTGAAGTCAGCTTGATCAGGGGCCGGTCGCCTGGGTTGAGGACCGCGAGAAGCTGAGAAAAGCTCGCATGCCCCCGGGCCGGGACGCCTGGGTTCCTTGCGGGGGAGGGAACTGGACCAGTGGAGCAGCAGCCCCGGCGGCGTCTGCGCTTTTTCATTGGTTGCCCCGTGCGTCAGTTGGCGCACCGCGGCCCAATGCGCGCACCCGGGGGGCGGGCCCTGATGCTAATGCTGCCGTCAGTCGGTGTTGCAGGGATGCGGCGGCGGGAGCAGCCGCCCTGACTCGCGGAGCATCCTCCTCCGAGCGGCACCGCGGCGGGGCGGGCGGACGGGCGGGCGGGGACGCGGCGGGGAGCGAGAAAGGCGCGAGGCGGCCGACTCCGCTCGCCCCGGCTCTGCCACTCGCCGGAGACGGGGCGGCCTCGGGGCTCTGATCCCCATCCTCCAGCTGCTGGCGCCCCCAGAACCAGGTACAGTAGTGGGGGGGCTGCGGCGGAGACGGGCGGGGGGCGGGGGCCGATCGGGGGAGGGGAGCGAGTCGGAGGGGCGGGGGAGGCAGGAAGGTGGATTGGGGGGCGGGGGTGCCGCGCGGAGAGGGCTGGCTGTGTGTCAGTTAGGAGGCTAAGAGGCTTGGGGGACTGGGGGTCGGAGGCTCTCTGTGGAAGGGGCACTGGCCCTGAGCTGGGACGAACGGAGGGGCGTTGAGAGGGAGGGTCGATGGGGGAGGGGAGGAAGCAGGAAGGAGGGGCACCCAAAGGGCTCCGAGGGGGCTCTGGAGGGGGACTCCCCAGTCTGTGCTAGCCCCAGGGGCTGGAAGCAGGGCTGGACCTGAGGGGTTGTGTCTCTGAAAGGGCTGCAGGGAAGACAGCAGCGAGGAACTGGGCTTCGTGGGAGAAGAAGGGGCTGAGAGGTGGAGAGAGAAGGAGCAGGGGCCAGGCCAAGGGCTCCTAACTGGGGGCACCTCCAAGCACCAGGCTTTCCTGGGGGATGGGAGCCAAGGGGAGAAGAGGTTATTCGGAGGGAACAGAGGGGAATGTGCCAAGGTGTCGGTGGGGAGAGAGCCGGGAAAGATGGGGGGCTGAGGGAGTGGAGCGGAAGCTTGCGGGGGAAGGCTGGGGGTGATGCGAGGGAGACTGCGAGATCAGTAGGAGGGGCTGTGCTGGGGCGGAGATGCGCTGGGGGTGGTGACAGGGTTACGGTCAGAGAGTGCTGCAGGGGGGGAGAGGCAGCCGGCCCCAGGCTGTTCCCCCACCTCAGAAGAGGAGACCGTTTCTCCGGTCCCAGCCTTTCCCCCCCAGTGGAGGAACCATCATCTGCCCTAGACTCTTTGGGCTGGGGTATGAGCCCTTGAACCCTTGATGGGCCCTTGGAGGACTGTTGTCTCCTTTACTCTGAAGCCCCACCTGGGACTGGGGAATAGTCTGGGGAGGGCATTTGGTACTTCATTCCCAGCCGAGGTGGGA